AAAGCAATTTTCTTGTAGATGGCTTCTGGGTTTACAAGGGACCAAACCAATATTCTTATTACTTTATACGAAAGTTATCCCGATTTGTACAATGTACAATCATCCCGTTACAAGAATAAAACGTTGAGGGAGTCTATGTTGAATGAGTTAACCATGAAATTGAACGAAGCATTGGGAAACACGCAATTTACATCTACCGATGTAAAAAAGAAAATTAATGGATTGCGCACTCAATTTTTCAAAGAGGTAACAAGTGTGAAGAAAAAAAAGTGTAGTGGGTCGAGTACAGATGATGTCTATACACCCACTTGGTGGTGTTTCGACTTGCTACACTTTTTGCAAGATTCTGCCCCCGTGCGACGAGGAGAAAGCAATCTGCAAGACGTTACTAATGTATGTATTATTCAGTGCAGTTATTCCATTTTTTTCATAATTTCTTTGTAACATGCAGATACCAAGTGATGAAGAAAATGAGGTGGTATTTGAGGGTACAGTCGATGAATTAAACACTGTAGAAGCTGAGCTACTGTCACCCTCAACGTCAGTAGCAAGTGGCTGCAGTTCTGTTCCAAGTGTCAAAAGACGTAAAGTTTCAAATGTAGATAAAGCTAACGATTTATTACAGAAGGCTACATCCTTTTTAGAAAAAACACAAGGAGAGAAATTGGATCATTTCGATACATTTGGAATGTAAATTTATATCTATATTATTACAAGTGATAGGTACTAAAACTTGTATTTGCAGGTTTGTTGCTTCAGAGCTGCGGCAGATTTCTCCCGATATGGTAACACAAGTTAAGCGAAAAATTACAAATATTTTATTTCAATCGCAAGATTAAATTAGGTTAGTTTAAAAATTTAATGTAATAAGTCATTTCTTAGTTTTTATTTTGTTGAAGTTTGTTTGTAAAAATGTGTAGGTAATATGCTTAAAATTATTTAAAGGTTTCATAGGAATTAAAAATAACAATAAACATTGAACACATTTACAACTATAGCACTATAGGTTTGTCTTACTGCTAACTTAAAATTAAAATATACACTTAGGCAATATCATCTTGCCAAGGTACTGCACCTTCATTATTTACATAGTTTGTAAATTCTTTCCGGACCTCAAGTGCAGTATTAGTTGGACGATTGCCTCCCTGACGAGTAAGTCCATAAAGGAATGTAAAGTCTTCACTTGTTTCTTCATCAGGATGAACAAATGTTTTACACTCTCTACGTAAAAAGTTGTGTAATGCACAACAAGCCAGAGTAATTTCTTGCACTTTTTGTGGGTCCAGATTGATTGTGGTTAAGAAAATACGAAATCGATTTACTAATATGCCAAACACGTTCTCAACAACCCTGCGTGCCCGGCTTAATCGATAATTAAAAATACGTTCCTCTTTCGTCATATTTCGGAAAGGATATGGTTTTAGAATTCTTTCGCTCAAAGGAAATGCAGCATCAGCTACAATAACGTATGGCATGGGTTTATTTCTGCCTGGTAAACGGGGTCCAGATGATTCAAAGAATGCTGAATTCATAGAATGCCAATCCATATAACGATACATAATAGAATGTTGAATTCATATACAAATTGATTCATAGAACGGTTGATTCATCGAATTGCAGATCCATATACAATCTGATTCATAGAATGGTTTATTCATCGAATTGCAGACTCAACGAAATCTGAATTTGTATAGTGCAATCAAAGAGTTGTTATAATCAATGGTATGTTTAGACAAAAAAATTCCAAATCGTCATTTATGCACAATTTATTATCGCTCCGACCTAATAGCATTTGTGAAAGCAAATACAATTATCAATCCCTAATCGAGTCAAATTAGATTGATCAGCAGTCGTTCCTTTAATAACTTTTTTCGGTACATATACGACACACGCATCGTCTTCTCCTTCTCCCCCTTTTTCATCGTTAAATATAGATGTTCTATAACGAAAGATATCGGGCGTGTTTTGCTTTAAATCGAATAGCAGGTATCCATACGGCTTAGATGTTGCATCGGTATATGCTTCCTCCAAAAACTTTGCATTTTCAGGACAGATTTGCCGGGTTAAGTATTTTATTTGAGCTCGATCCCGCGGATTTTTAAATAGAAATTAAATAATGTGCATTCAAAGAGATGTCCCTCTGACCTTTACCCTGATGAAATATATTTTGAGTGAGGAAAAAAATACTTAGATTTCTATGATGACAGCCTTTTGTGAAAAGATCAACTACAGAACCATTTGATTCCCGCATCAGGTCGTCAATCACTATTAATACTGGAACGGATCCATCAAACATACCCATTATCAGGTATTCCCTGTTGAAATTCAACGGTGGATTCCAAATGTGTATATAGTGACTGCCATTGATCGTAGAACCAATAAACTTTGACGAATACTGTATCACAGGCCTGAGTACAATTTTTAAATTGTTGTGAAAACTTCCTACGACTGAAACTACCCACACAACTTACCCTTGCAATCTCACAAAAACTATTTAAAACACAAATCTCAGGGCCCGTAAAATGAGTCCGACTACCCCTTTTTTCCGTCCGGACAAGGGGTAGCAACCTCGCCAGGTCGGTGGCTAATACCTCCCTTAAATTCCAAATAAAATAATCCCTTGTTAACGAACTTCTGGAATGAAATTTAAGTCCCACCGATGATCCAAACCTTTTTACGTTATCAAACTCGTTTCACACTCGGGATAAAAAAAGAAAACTTAAAATTTGAGAAACTCGAATCCTTGACCTTTACTTAGACACACACAAATAATAAATGACAAACAAAAAAAATAAAAATTTTACAAAGCTAAATTTACAAAATCTGAAAAAAATAATTTACACAAATTGAAACACAAAACCGTCTCAGACGGCGATTCTTACAATTAAATTAAAACAAAAATGACAGTACTCACGGTGCTAATCCTTTTTACAAATGCGCAAACAACCGACGCACACAAAAACACAAACACAGCCCCAAGGTATGTGCTGACACAGCTACTCCAACAGCTCCTCGGCGATGCTGGCGTTAAACAAACGTTCCGCCTACTCCAGATGATGTAAAATACAACGCAAACGAACTTTTGCTGCTAAAATGGCATTATTGTACCGCTCGTTTCTCTTCAACAAACTCCGAGACAAACTCCTTCCCAAAGACCTTCTTAAAACTCCTCGATGCCGGCGTAATCCACACGTTCCCGGACTTTCAAAACAATAAACGATGAATAAACTGGCGTAACTTTATCAAACGCCGCTACAATAAACTTTCCAAAAATCTTCACATAAAACAAACGTAGGCTTCGCGAAACGGTACAATAAGCGTCTTCTCTTCGCTGTTCAAAACCATTTATACCCCAGTATCGTCAACTCTCGTTGCGACGCTTTTCCATGAAAAATTCGAATATCGGGGCCGATAAAACTTAACGGTCGACTCCGCGGACCAATACCATAATTTAACAATAAAATAAGATTTTCCGCACGCCGATGGACCTGCAATTATTGCTGAGAAGGGGTGTTTGAATTGCCACGCCATTTTTTTTTGTTAGTACGCTTAAATTACTACTGAGACTTTTACTAATATCTTCTACTATATATGTGGGAAACGCTGACCCAAAACAGACATCATCATCGTCTTTTTACCCCCCTCAATCGGTAAAAACTTCATTATTATAAATATAAGTATAACATGCCATGATAAAACTGTATATTTCATAGAAACAAACAAACAAAATAGAAATGGTGCTTTTTCACATGTTCATGGTCCCTCTCTTTTTCTCTCTTTAATAATAAAAGATAAACATCGACTATTTACCCTTGCTGCTATGCTTTGGTTCAAGATTAATGGGCATGTAACAAAGATGACCAAGACATGTTTTTTGAATAAAAAAATTCATTTACCTATACAAAACACACAGTTAACATCCTGAGATATTCGATGACGTTTCACCCTTCTCCTTCTTCTTCTTCGTCTGCATCGTACACCTTTGGTGATGGTTGTGTGTAATAAAAATTCATTTTTCTAACAGTGTGCTTGGTTTTAGTTTTGGAATGATCGAAACGTTATTAATAAAAATAAAAATATTACATACTTTGACAGTATCCTAAATGTTAGGCAACTTTCATTTCTAATTGATACTTCATAGGTTAGTTTTTTATGCAGCATAATTTTAGTTTAACATTTTTTAAACGTAACGTAATTTAAGCTATAATTTTAAGAATTTTCAGATACATTAGACTTAATGCACACGTTTATGCAACCATTTTTAACGTAACAGTTTGTTTGTTTGTATGAATACGTATTTTGGGGCATTTGCACTCGCGCAAGTAAACAGCTGATTCTTCTTGCTATGAATATAGGAACTTGAACACTGAACTTTTTATGATATAGAAACGGCATTAATTTTTTTTCTGCATATAACCAACCTCAAGAAAATAATAGTAACAGTTATATACTTACATTCCTCCGATAGCACGTACGGCATCTACAAATTTATCGTAGACATCCATGGATGTAAAATCCTCTCCTTCAAGTACAATTTTAAACATCATAATGTCGTACCACTTCTTTAGGTCTTCGCCACTAACCAAACCGTCGCGAAACAAATTTAAAATTTCACATGCTGTTAAACGTTCCATTATTATTATGATTATTATTATTATCGATCAATTAGTTAAGTATTTTTATAAATTATCGACCTAATTAACTAGAATGGAAAGTAGACCCTGTCAATAATAACAACAACAGTTTTTCCTAATTGCCTTGTCTCATGTCTTACATAATCGAAAGAGTATATGCACCTACAAGTTAATTGCAATTAGGTACAGTACATCTTTGTGTATTTTTCCAATTATCGAAATAAATAAAATCGCAACTATACTGTGGCGGCCCGCGCCTAAAACGTATACAATTAAGCTCGAAACCCATTAGCAACACCCCACGCCACGCCACGCTACACGACGCCACTCGACGTCAACAGACGTGTTTATTCTGTGTACACATATTTACCACGCTACGCCACAAAACCACCGTGTACATTTAACATTTTGTAGTATCTGTCTATCTACCGTCAAGTGCGGACATGATGGAGTGCGTTAGTGGTTCTTCGTCTGACGAATGGGAAGAAGAGTTGGAGGAATGTGCTGCTGCAGTAGTTGCATTAACCCTTTATAGGTTACTGGTCGATATTTTAACCAAGTCTGAAATTATACTTTATCAGACACACAGCGGTCTAATATTCAACCAGATGTTACCACGCGCATTGCATACTGGTTAAAAATTCGACCAGTGCTTATATGCGCATGACTTAGAAAGCACGTGGAAATAAGTGGTCAAATATCCAACCAGTATTCTTCTAGTGCTGATAGATAGTTTTTGTGTGTGTTTACATATTTTGGTTTATTTCGAGGAACACTTGAAGAACATCAATAAGAATTGGTAGGTGAGTACTTTGATGTTCATAGATTATGTTGTTATGATTGTAATTGTGGTATCTATTCAAGGAAGGATAATATTAGTATAACTTTCGACATAACCCTCTAAATTGAGATACAATAAGTGAAAAATGGATCCTAATAATACAATCATAAATCTAGTGGAATTCGAAAAATTATCATCTGCAGAACAAGCTCAGTGGTTAGACAGTATTACTGATGATCAAGCAATCAATTCTGATGAAGGTGGAGATTCAGATGCTGATGATTTCCCTGAGTTTACTCCTTTGCCAGCCAACACATCTCGCCGGCAAACAAAAAGGAGTTTTGATGAAATAAGTGGCGATTTTGATAGCGATGATTCTGTAGCCGATCCTAACTTCTATCCCGAACAAGAAGCATGTCAGGTCCCTGCATTTGATTCATCTTCGGATGATGATGAGCCACTAGTGAATCTGGTTCATAGATCATCCACTGTCACTGATGTTCAGAATTCTCAAGAACAAGGCAACGACTTTCTGTGGACAAAATCACCTTATCTGCCACATGCTTTTCAGTCAGTTACATTCCATGAATTTCCCGGCCCCAGGATTTCGATCAGTGACTCACCCATTGATATCTTTTCCAAAATTTTAGGAAATGACTTCCTAGAAAAAATTGTCACTGAGACAAACCGTTACGCAATCCAAAACAATAACGCTATTGATTTGACTGTAGAAGAGTTGAAGGCTTTTATTGGAATGCTAATTATAATGGGTTTCAATCCTTTACCAAGTTTGCGACTCTACTGGTCATCTGATCCAAATTTTCATAATTCAAGGATTTCGGCCATAATGCCTCTGAAAAGGTTTCTAAAGATTCTACGATTTTTACACATCAATGATAATGAAAATATGCTCAAAAAAGGAGAAGCCGGTTTCGACAAATTACATAAAGTCAGGCCGATGATTACATATTTGTCAGATACGTTTCTGAATGTTTATACGCCAGCCCAAAATTTAGCAGTCGATGAAAGCATGGTTGCTTTCAAAGGCAGGACGCACTTGAAACAATATATGCCACTCAAACCTATAAAGAGGGGTATCAAAATCTGGGCGCTAGCTTGTTCTAAAACAGGTTTCTTGTTGAAATTTTCAGTTTATGAGGGAAAGAAAGAATCTGATGAAGAAGGGCCACTAGGAGAGAAAACTGTTCTAGAGCTGACTAAGCCTTTCGAAAACAAGAACTATTGTATTTATTTCGACAATTTTTTCACGAGCTTTACTCTTCTACTGAAGCTTCTCGACCGAAAACTGTATGGCTGTGGAACGATGAGGCCAAACCGCAAGAATTTTCCCAAAGACCTCCTGGTTTCAGACAAAGACCTTGAACAAGGAGAATTCGATAATGTTGGTACTAGCAACATTACAGTCAGCAAATGGAAGGACCGTGGGAAGAAATGCGTACTGGTTGCTTCTACAATGCATTCAGTGATGGAAACATCAACAGTTGAACGGATGACAAAGGAAGGTGTTAGAGTTACTGTTGGTTGTCCAAAAAGCATCGACGATTACAACAGAAATATGGGCGGAGTCGATTTATTTGATCAGTTACATTCTTGTTACAGCATTGCTTGGAAGTCGCGAAAATGGTGGATGAAATTATTTTACTACATGATTGATGCTTGTATAGTAAATTCATATGTCTTATACAAAGCAGGTGCTTCAACTAGTCAACAAAAGTATACACCAAAAAAGCAACTTGTGTTTAGGAGCATTCTTGCGAATCAACTAATCGGAACATTTTCAGCGAGAAAAATTCAAGGTTCATGGTTCATTGTGGGCAAAAACAAAGTGAAAAAATTGGATGGTAGGTCAGTGAATGTTGAAAATTCGCTTCGGTTGACGAATGTTGGTGATCACCTCCCTACATCAACATCTTCAAGAAGATGTGCTAGGTGCAGTACCGAAAAAAAACCTAAACGCTCGAGCATTGCTTGTACGAAATGTCAAGTCGCACTATGCTTGCCATGTTTTGCACCTTTCCACAACAAATAGACTTTAGTGATTTGTACTTGTATGTAATGAAGCTAAACATTTTCCACTTTCAAAAACTGGTCGTTATATCGACCAGTATTCTTAGGGTTGTGGTTGTTGCCCTAGTGGAATACTGGTCGATATACCAACCTGCTCAAAATAAATAAACAATTTATGTTTTTTCAAAGTTAAATTGTTTCTTTTGTCACCCTAACACATTTATTCACAAGTGCAAGCAAAATAGAGGAACTTACTTAATTATTTTAATCTGACCTATAAAGGGTTAAAAAAAACAGGAGGCGGTTTTGGGTTCACGATGTAAATAAACAGCGTCCAAAATACGGTGCGTTTCACTCTCTGATAAAGGAGTTGAAACTTGATAGAAATCAAAATCGCTACCATATGTATTTTCGAATGTACAAAGAGCAATTTGATTATCTACATGACTTAGTAAAAGAGAAAATTGGAAAACGAAACACCACTTTCCGACAGTCGATTGGAACCAGAGAGAAACTTGCAGTTTGCCTAAGGTAAGTACCTATATTATGGTAAAGTAGTTACATACTAATATTTTATTATAAACTGTAGTGCGTAAATAAGAGTTTTCAAAAATAAACTTCATTCTGTAACACAAACAGATCAAAAAATAAACCGCTTTGGTTGATATAGAAATCGTATGTAGAACATGATGTTTTTAAAGTGAGGTCATTGTATAATTTTCTTCCCCTCTGGAATTTTGTTGAGAAGATCCAGATGGAGGAACCCAAGTTTGACCCTGCAAATGTCTCATTTGTGCTTCAGAGACAAGTTTGCATATTTCCAAACGAATCCATGCTTGGTCCATTTCGGGTAACTTTTTGGCATTTTTCGACATGCTTAAGTAAAACATATCGGATTCGTCTAATTTAGAGTTCTCCTTCGCATCGGCTTTTTTCATTCTCTGTTCGGCATTTTTCTTCATAATGCTCACCATTTCGTCCGCAGCATTTTTAGTACGTTTCGCTCTAGGATGATCCACTTTTGGAGCGTTGTGAGTAATGTGTGATTGGGTGGAGACTGTAGATGTGGACGATCTTTCCAGATTGTCGTCATCTACGTCACTGTCATTATCTTCGTTACCTTCTTCAGTAGCATTATCTTCTTCGTTATCATTGGCAGTATGAAGTAATTCTACTGCCTGTGATTGATGCTCTTCCAAATTTTCTTGAGTTCTGTAAAATGCAGAAACATTACGTGATATCACTGCCCACATTACTTACGGTCTAGTATCGAAATATGGTTGAAGAAAGGACATTTCATCTTCATACTTCCACGGAGTGTACTTCTTTGCGGCTTGTCCACTTTTTTTAAATTTGCGTCTCTTTAATGCGTTAGAATAGCAGTTGCGCAATTTCGACCACATGTCTTTAACTTGCGATGCTAAAAAAATATGTTATCAGCTGCATGTTAACATATTCCACTTTTGCAGGTACTTGGCCACAGGAAACTCGTTCCGTTCAATAGGATTCAGCTTCAGGATGGGATTTAATACAGTTCGGAAAATAGTGAAAGAAGTTTGCAAGGCAATATGGGAAACACTAGGTCCCATTGTGATGCCAAAACCTACTGAAACATTCTGGAAAGATGTCTCTAAACGATACAAACACATGTGGAATTTCCCCAATTGCATTGGTGCAATTGATGGGAAGCACATTAATATCCGTGGCCCCATTGGTGGTGGATCAGCGTATTATAATTATAAAGGAGCACATTCTGTTGTTTTGCTCGCGCTTGTAGACGCCAATTATAAAATTCATAACTGTGAATGTTGGATCTTTCGGAAGAAACAGTGATGGGAATGTTTTTGCCAACTCTACCTTAGGGCGGTCATTAGAAAGTGCAACTTTACATGTACCTGCAGATGAACCATTGACGGAAAATGGAGTGCCTTTACCTTATGTGATTGTAGGCGACGAGGCATTTCCTCTGAAGCCATATTTATTGCGGCCGTATAGTAGAAATACAATCGCCGGGAATGAAGCAAATAAAATCTTCAACTACAGACTATCGCGAGCAAGACGAGTTGTGGAGAATGCATTCGGAATCCTAACGGCTAGGTGGCGGGTGTTCACGAGGTATTTTGAGGTTCAGCCGGTAATGGTGGATTCTATAGTGCTAGCGTGTTGTTGCCTTCACAATATGTTGTGTTCAAACGAAGATTTTGAACCAGATGTTACACCACTAGGCACAACCAATTCTGGCTTAAATAATATCGGGGCACTAAGGCGAAATGCGACCCAACGAGCTTTTTACGTCAGGGAACAATTTAAAGAATATTTTAATTCTCCATTTGGCAGTGTTCCTTGGCAACAAGAAATGGTTCGAAGGGGAAGGACTGTTGTAAATAATAATGGAATGTAATAGATTTACGTACTTTTTTTAAATAAAAAATATCAACATACCTGAACTGTTCAATTCTCGCGCTATCTCTTCCCACGCTTCCTGCCGCATGTTTTGGTCTCTATAATGAGACGAGTGCTGATTGTAAAGAAATTCATACCGGCGTACTTTTTCAATTAATAATTGATCTTGCATTGTCGTTAAATCACTGCAAATGTCTTGCAGCAAATGTACACAAACACAACTGGTGACTGTAGCGGGAACTCGGACGTAAGGGGAACGGGTCAACACGCTTGTTTACGCGTCGAGCAAGTCTGGACATCCAGACCCAGTACACGTCCTCTCGCGTGGTGTCGCGTCGCGTGGAACGAGTGTGTACACGTTACATGTAAAGTAATGATTATCTTCTGCACACACATTTGTTGCGTAGTGTCGTGTAGCGTGGCGTGGTGTGGGGTGTTGCTAGTGGGTTTCGGGCTTTAAGCACGCCGAGACTACCCTCAGTTCGGCACGGCTGAGAACACCCCGGGGCGAGCAAGCACGGCCGAGACGTGCAAAACGGCTTCTCCCCACTCCAACAGACGGCCTTTATAAGGCGAGCCAGCAGCAGAATAAATCAGATGCACCTGTTTCCTTATAGCGGTCATCTCACTAATACTGTGTTGTCTCATAGCCAGTATTCAATTTTTGGCAGTGTTCATAATAGCCTGCCTCACCAACCGGCGTTCACCGAGCCCGGTAAACACAATCGGGTTACCCCAGCCGGCGTTCACCGAGCCCGGCATTCCTACCAGCAGCCACCGCGGACAGCACGTCGCGCCCATGCCACCTACGACGCCCAGGAAGGTGAAGCGCCAGCGACGAAACGAGATCCGCCGTTTCTTCCAGAGGAGCCCATTTCCGACATTGTTTCGCCGCTACCGCCTAGGCCGACACAACGCGCCTGGAAGCTATAGCCCATCGAGCAGCCCATTTCCTACGGCAACATCGACCCCGGAACCGTAGCGCCTAACGATCCCCGCCGGTTCATCGTACGCGACCGTCATCCAGCACCTGTTCGGGGACGACTGAAAATTGCACATACTGTAATATAGATATAATGTTATGTAAATTTATATAGGACACGATAATAAACAAGCACGCATACAACCAAAATACCTATGCGAATTAATTATTCGCTATTGATGTACCTAATGCATGTAATCAATTTTGTTTTGCTGTTACAAACGGTGAAAGCGCTTCATTAGGAAAATTTTAACACATACTTACTATTTTTTTATAAGATCGGGCAAATGTTATATAAAACAGTAATTATAATGCAAATAAGTGCCTATAAAAGGAGAATTATCGATTTGACTAAACCAGTGTGACAAACAATTTGCAACATACAAAATGTGTGCAATACATCAAGTTAATAACTTATTTGCAGTAATACAACAGCTTTTAATTTCGTTTTTCTAAGATACTATACAACAACAACAATCAGACAACGAAGAGAAGGAAGAAAAATAGAGGATCCGTTTAGAGGGTACAGTCCTCTGACGGAAAACATTAACGAGATTATTGATAAAGTAAGGAATTGTTATTTTTTATTATTATTATTATTATGAATGCTAATACTATTTTGTATAGGTCCTGCTAAACCACGAGATGACAGATGTGTGCGGTCCTCCTGCAGAAAAAAGGAGAAGAACGAATGAATAATCAGTTAATTAATTAAAATGTTATTTTCTAATAAAAAACATTTTTTTTAGCAAACGCCATATTATTCTACTCATTTCTATGTCATCAATCAGCTGATCTGACATAGAATCGGAAAAGTTTCGACAGGATAGCTGACAGTACTCCTGGTGATGTGCAATACTTTGTTTGTTTTGTTTTTTTCAAAACACCCACAATTTCTTTTGAGATGTCGAACTTGAAAATGGAGTTGTTTCACAAATAAAAAATTTAAAGAATACACCTCTCTCATTTCTTTTTGTTAAGATTGTAATTATCGAATCTACCAAAGTATAATTTTTACAAGTCCTGAAAAAAAATGGTATACACAAGAAGATTACAATCCATTTCATCTCTCAGACTCGCTAGCCGAGTGGTTAATGTGTTAGTCTTTTGTTCTTACTACAATGTTGGACAGAGGTTCGACCCCCATTCAAACCAACTTTAATTTTTTCCACATTAGACATATTCGAAAAAAAGACGTAACCAATTGGGCACTACTTGACGTCAGTGAAAGGTGGAATTTACAACATTAAGGTCTTTACATAACAATAACAAAGACATTAGAAATGAAAGTAAAAAACCGTCATTAGAAAGGACATTAAAAACACAAAAACAAAAACATCATTAGAAACTGAAAGGAAAAGTGAAAGGGAAGGTGAAATGACCTCAGAGTAGTGGGGTGATAGTGTCTCCCTTCTACTTAGGTCATAGGAAATCTACAACAACTTACATCGCTCGCAGCAAATCAGTTGGGAGGGTGGATACGGAATTAATTAATCAGTATAACGCTGAGCTGAGGTATATTATTGGAAGTGTGTATTGAAAAGGGTTGTTGCAGTGATAAAATTTTTGTCATCAAAGGGACTCGCATTTCGCGGCGACAACGAAGTTATTGGTTCTCAACAAAATGGAAATTATTTAGGATGTATTGAATTATTAGTTGATCCTTTTCTAGCCGAACATTTGAAAAAGTACGGAAATCCGAGCAAAGGTAAAACCACTTACTTGTCAGCAAACATTTGCAACGAGTTTATTAGCATTATGGGGAAACAAGTGCTAATGAAAATTGTAAGCAAAATATTATTCAATTAGTGTTGACTCGACACCTGACCTTTCGCATGTTGATCAGCTCACTTTTATTGTGCGATATGTAAAAGATGGGAGTCCCGTTGAAAGATTTCTGCAATTTATCCCCATAAAGCGACATACCGCTGAATATTTGACTGAGACGGCTTGGCGTTTCTGGAAAACTTGGACATTTCAATAAAATATTGTCGTGGGCAAAGCTACGACAACGCATCGAATATGGCCGAAAAGTACAAACAAGGATTAAAGAAAAATGTGAATATGCAATTTTCATACCGTGCGCTGGTCAGTCACTGAACTTGGTCGGTCAGTAGAGAAGACACAGCACCCCCCACCCCTACTCTGACATCACGTGCTGCTCTGTGATTGGTAGCGCCATTTTGTGGAGGGTAATTTGAATTTTTGAATTGACAAGTGGTGTCGCCATCTAGTGACAATTGCTAGAGGTACAAGAATTGAAAGTGTAGATTTCTGTAAAAATTGCAGAAATGAAAGTAAAAAACAGTCATTAGAAAGGACATTAAAACACAAAAACATCATTAGAAACTGAAAGGAAAAGTGAAAGGGAAGGTCAAATGACCTCAGAGTAGTGGGGTGGTAGTGTCTCCCTTCTACTTAGGTCATAGGAAATCTACAACGACTTACATCGCTCGCAGCAAATCAGTTGGGAGGGTGGATACGGAATTAATTAAACAGTATAACGCTGAGCTGAGGTATATTATTGGAAGTGTGTTGCAGTGATAAAATTTTTGTCATCAAAGGGACTCGCATTTCGCGGCGACAACGAAGTTATTGGTTCTCAACAAAATGGAAATTATTTAGGATGTATTGAATTATTAGTTGATCCTTTTCTAGCCGAACATTTGAAAAAGTACGGAAATCCGAGCAAAGATAAAACCTCTTACTTGTCAGCAAACATTTGCAACGAGTTTATTAGCATTATGGGGAAACAAGTGCTAATGAAAATTGTAATTCCTGTAATTTTTCGATGGTGTAGGTAATTTGGTGGTGTAGTTTCCTGTAATTTTCAGTTGGGGTAACCATTTAGGTTACTGTAAATTTGAAAATGTAGATTCCTGTAATTTTTTGCGCATGGTCACTGTTATCACCAGTGTATAGGATGTTTGCTCGTAGTGTATACATGGTGAAATTTTGTTGCGGCACCACAACGCCTTGTTTCAAAATAAAACATGATTGACTGATTTTTGAATATATTTTTATATTATAGATAATTAGATACTTTATAAACTAAAGAGATTAAGAAAATCAGAAAATTACTGTCGAAGATATGTCTGAAAACTTTCAGATTTGGTTTTTATTTTTTCTTTTCATCAGGATGGTGCATCCGCGCATAACGCCCTAATCGTGCGAGGTTACCTATCGGAGAAATTTTTTATCATTACGCACATAGCCGCAGGTATCCAAAGAGAAATACAAACAAAAAACAACAATTCATCGTGACAAAGTCATCATCATCATACTTTCAAAAACACAACAATTAGGTCTTCCTTTCATAATTACACAAAGTTTTCCTATTACACGCATGCCGTAGGTGTCCAAAAACACAATACAAACAAAGCCCCTCGTTAGTTACGTCGCAAGTTTTCCTATTACACAAACACGTCATTTAGGGCATTCAAAAAACTACATTCACAACCACAGGCATACAAAAACCAAATCAATTAGGCTTTCGCCATTACGCACATAGCCTAGGGCGTCCTAGGTGGATGGTGCGGGGGCTTTTTGTGATATATAAATGCAGCATAGAGAAGGGTACAGTTATTCCGTCAGTCAGATGGCTACAGAATTTCCGGCCTGCTACTATTGTCCTGAATACGGTAAGTGCTATTTCTTTTTGTCTTTCTGCTTTTATACTAATTTAATTTTGTGTTTCATTACAGATAATCAGCACTTAATGTCTGCCTCTATGGAGATCGATTTAGATGAACTGAACAATGCCACTTACTGTAAACCTTTCAAAAATGCGGGAGAATTATGCGTGGGTAATAAATATAAGATCATGAATCTTGACATCATCTCGACGAAGTATGGTGACAGGACTGTGGTTGAAACGGATAGCTTTAAATGTGTTTTGCCGACGAGACACTACAACTTTTTTAAAGCTGATTCACGGATGTCAGCCTTCAATCAGAAGTTACGCGGAACCGATATTTACCTGATTAGTTTAGGTACAGCCGGTAAAACAACAAATTTAAAGTTTGTTTAAATTGACTAATTGTATTATGTATTATAAGCATGTAGTAATAAAACTTATTCACTCTTGATCATTTGTATATTGTTAGATGACAACAAAAAGGTATAAAGAGAAATTATTGCTTTCTGACCGAAGCAAAATCAGGATGGATCTGATCCAAGTGTGTTCGTAGACGCCTTTTCATCAGCATTTCTGCGGGGCTGGTTTTTGTTGTGGTTGATGGAGTTGTGTGTTGTCCCAAAAGGTACCTGGCCAACTTGATTTCCCAGTCTCCCTCCCCCATCTTGGAAAGATTTCGTTTAACCTCCTGTACCATCCGTTCGGCTTGGCCATTGGATGAAGGATGATAAGGTGCGATTCGTGCATGTCGAATTCCATTTTTCGACAAGAACTCCGTAAACTCTGTTGATGTAAAAGATGTCGCGTTGTCGCTTACGATGACCTTTGGTAGTCCATGAGTTGAAAATATTTGTCTTAGGACTGAAACTGTTGCTTTCGAAGAAGTTGATGGCACTCTTCGAACTTCCAGCCATTTGGAATGGGAATCCACCACTATCAAGAAAATGGCCCCATGAAACGGTCCAGCATGGTCAATATGTAAACGTTCCCAAGGGGTTGACGTCCATTCCCATGGATGTAACTGCGCCTTCGGTGGATCTCTTTGATGAGATTGGCAGACATTGCAATTCTTGACTATAGCTTCTATTTCGGAATCCATATTGGGCCACCACATATAGCTGCGTGCCAAAGATTTCATACGAACTATTCCTGGATGAGTGGTATGTAGCATGGCCAACGCTTGACTTCTGGCAGCTACAGGGATGATGACTCTACTTCCCCAAAGTAAACAATTTTTGTATGAGGACAATTCATTACGTTTGGAGTAATATACTGAAAGTTCTTTAGGAACTGATGTAGGCCAACCTTTCAATATATATTCGTAAATTCTTGACAATAACAAATCCCTAGAAGTCATCTTAGCAATAACTGACGCGTCACCACATTTTTCGGGCATTAATTCTGTCATTCAAATAATAGGAACGACAGTTTCAATATTGTCATCATCTTGAGAAATTAAATGCAAACGACTGAGAGCATCAGCATGTGATATATCCCTACCTGGTTTATAAAGTAATTTGTAATTATAATTAGACAAAAAGAGAGACCATCGTACAAGTCTACGTGAAACTAATTCTGGTGTAGGTTGATTTTCACCCAGTATCCCCAAAAGGGGCTTATGGTCAGTGTAAATAACAAATTCACGACCGTACAAATAATTATGAAATTTGTTGACGTTCAGAATTATAGCCAGACCCTCTTTGTCTAACTGAGAATATCTTCTCTCAGTTTGGTTAAATGCTTTCGAATGGTACGCCACTGGGGTTTCCGTATCATCCCCATGTGAATGGCTAAGGACACCCCTCGCCGCAAAAGGAGATGCGTCGCACGTTAAAGTTAAAGGTGCATTATTGTCATAATGAGTAAGTAAAGAGTCTGAAGTTAAAAGTTCTTTAACTTGAACAAACGCGTTATTTTCACGAACCCCCCATGTCCACGTTGTGTCTTTTTCAAGTAACCGATGTAGCGGCTCTGCTACCATAGCCTTGTTTTTCAAAAACACATGATAGAAATTAAGTAGTCCTAAAAATACCTGCATGTCTCGCTTATTGGCTGGAGGAAGCGCAGACTTAATTGCCTGTACTTTTCCTGAATCGGGTCGAATGCCATTGCCATCTACCACAAAACCAAGAAAATTAATTTTATCTGTACAAAATACACATTTGCCCTTCCGTACTTTTAGACCGGCAATAGAAAATCGTAATAGAACACTATCTAATCGCGAACCGAGTTCGGAAACTGTAGACCCGTAAATTAGAATGTCATCATAGTACGGACAGACACCTTGTATTCCACCGAGGGTATTGTTTATAAATTGTTGAAATATTTGTGGCGCAACAGTCAAACCGAATTGCAGACGATTCACTTTGAAACACCCCTTGTGAGTGATAATAGTTTGTAGTTCCGCGGACTCGGGGTCGACAGGCAACTGTTGAAACGCTTGAGCCATATCCAGCTGCTGTCACACATGACGGTAATATGGTCATTTTACTAATCAAATCGCCGTCGGACAGGCACATACTGACGTAAAGCAGTATAAATGTATTACCTATGCCTTTGTTAATATTCAATTATATCTCTCAAATGCTATGAAAGTAATGATCTCATATGACCGAAAAGTAATATAAATAACGAACACGGATTTTGATATGCCTTATTGACAGAAGGGACCTGTACCTTTAAGGTATCTTTACTTTCATTATAATTAAGGTACACTTGGTAATGTTCAGAAGTAGGTAATGGGTAACGTAAAATTAAGAATTCGATATTTAAACTATAAATAAAATCAAATCAAAGTCAATCTCTTATCTAACTGCAGTAGCATCTAAAGTGAAACAGTGTTAACAGCAGAGTGGCTGGTGTAATTCGTCGTACAATAATAATGGTGATACATACTGCATGTTATGGATGTCTGGTATGGCACCACTGTTTCTTTTACTGTGCCTAACACAGGTAAAATAAGAGAAGGCAGGGTAAATTGTCCTCGCCGAGGGTACTTTAGCAATACTACGTCTCAAACATCCAGTGTATTGTTTTAGCAGTAATACCAGTCAGCAACATGGTACAACTGCAATGTGTAACTTTTTTTAAACCGCTAATTTGTACGTATTACTGAAGTTTTATCCGTCGTTCCGAATATATTAAGCGTAGTTATGCTAAAACGGATTTGTCTTTCTGACAGGACTAAAGTTTTTTTTCAGTGCAGTCGTGAATTTAGAAGAAAACGGTTGTCCATCTTTGAAACAATTGAAAAAAGAAGCTGAAGCGTATCGCTGTCTACATCATAGTATTGAAGACCCGGTGTGCGCTTTAGAAAATTCGCTACTTTTACATGATTGGGTACAATTAAACTCGCGAGATGAATGCGGTACAGGTGCTGAAAAATTTGAAATCAATACCGTTTCTGAAGAGGAGGAAGAACGCAATTCGACTTGTTTGTGCTGCTGATCGACTGCCAAAACACGCTCCTAGACCTTGTGCCCTTATAGTAAACACTGATCCATCTCATCGTCCCGGCGAACATTGGATAGCGATCTACATCGACGAAGACGGTATTGGGGAATATTTCGACTCATTTGGACGATCGCCTCAAAATAATTATTATCATTTGAAATTTATGGAGACAAATTCTGTATATTATCGATACAATGGCACTGTACTTCAAGATTTTCATTCGGACGTGTGTGGTCTTTACTGTTTAATGTTCCTATATTTTAGAGCTTACAATATAATAATGTCAGATTTTGTAGATATTTTTACTACGTGTTTAATTCAAAACGATGAAATAATTAAGTATTTATATTACACTTGTTTTTGTATAGTTACATTTCAATAAACAATAAAATATTTGAGCTGATAGAGGCCATCATTTGACCATAGGAAGACAACACAAGAAGGATTCCAGACGTTAGTGTTAGAAACAATATGATCTATTTGTATTGTAATACAGATATTATGGTGCCTTCTCAAGTAGGTGGTTATAGGTAGGTACACCTTGCTGCTATATAATGTAAGTTTTTTCCTTAGACATTTTACTATTGTGTGTAGAATCGCACCCACTGTTCGGATTTAGTGAATGTATAGTTTTTAACTGAACCTCCCTATAACTTTGATGTGATTTAACATCGTAAGCGTGGTAATATATCAAATTTCGCAACACAGAACGAACTTATGTTTAGATAGAACTTACGAAGGTTCATGATTTAAGCGAATGCATTGACACAACTTAAACATTTAGTACGTACAATTTCAATCAATCACCTTAAACAACTAGGTATATAATGTCTGTATAAAATCACCGGTAGTAAAATTTATGAAAGTTTATGAAAGATAAATAATAAAACCACACGGGGTCACAATCGTACCTAATAAGAATAATAATAATTATAACAATAAACACTGGGATTAAAAGATCAATTTAGTAGGTTACGTCATGTGTGCAAAGTGGAAAACAGAACGGGCAATCTGTAAGTCACGATGCACGCGCAGCGTAACCATACGAGAGGGTGTCATAACAGCCGTCCAGTCGGCGCCGTTTATTGTATTGAACCTGGTAAATCTTGGACTCTGACTTCGATACAACATCGTGAGTTGCGGTCCGATCAATTTTGCGATCCGTGTGCGCGTACAAGGGCTCGGCATTATTCAAAACCAACTCTTTCAGCGAATCAAAGTTGATGATTTGAGAATTCGCAAGTGTGATACCCTTGGCCTTACATACGGTGATGTATTTGTTCTTGTCCGTCGAAAACACCTTATACGCATAATTCTTGCGGCCGCCGCTCACGAATTCGACTATACGGCTACCGGGTCCGTATGCTTCCATCTCGTCGGTCATGTCGCCAAGAAAATCACCAACTGGTGGAACCCACTCGCCCGGTCTTTGCGTAAAAATAATCGAATCTGTATCAAAGTACAGTACCCGCTGACCAAGCTTCTCCAAGTAGCTATACAGTACAAGTCAAGCATTTGCGGTAGTATAGGCAGCTAATACGACATTGACAGTTGTGAGAGGTTCGACGCCATCTTCGGGTCTAAGCCAGTTTACACAAATGACATCGTCGCTAACTAGCAAGAGAGACTGTACCTCCTTCGAAGGATCGACCATAATTTTGAAAAATTCTTCTGTTCCGAAATAATTGATGTTTGTGTTAAATTTTCCGGCTGCCCGAACTTTCCCCAAAATGAATTTAAAAATAATTTTGCTATGTATCTAAGACCAGGATTAGCGCAAATTTTGTCCCAATCCAGACGGATACCCTCCCTTTCCAAATATTCGCGAAGGTAGCGCTCCTTCGACGTATCGTCCGCGCACCAAGAAGGCCAGCCACTACTCTCTTGCTTTATTTTCAAAAAGTTATCGACGTAACTCGAAAACAGCCCATCACTCCTACTCTCTTTGTCGTAGTGGCTAACCTCATATTCCCACACCTCAAAGACTTCTAAGACCGTGTAACCCATCTCCATAGCTTTGCGAAGCTCGTCCGCAACGTAAGTTCCGGTAAACTTACGTTCGTCTTGTGTATGTGTGCAATCATGCTGAGTTTGATTCTCAGCACAGGTTCTACACAACACGAACATTAAATTTACCGTGCATTTTCAAGGGTAGAACGGGATGGTACAAATCAGACGGTGGCAGTATGCTACACTTTACCAAACCCTCGATGGTGTGCAAGTCGAGGGTGCGACAGTCGTCTGAGACATATACCTTCGGGTGACGAATGGCGTATTTTGAGTACTTGTTAATAAAAGGGTAAAGTGAGCAAACGTCCAAATATCTGATTTACGTATTCTCGTTCTCAGTCTTGAAGTGTAACTTGACCGCATTGGTACGACCACCGAAAAAACTATCGCGGGGATTCAGAGGTGTCTGATTCAGCACTTCGGGTGAGCTAACAAATGCTCTAGCAATCGGATTTTGCTTTAAAAATGATCTGAATTCACATTCCCAAATTTCTTTCAACTCATAATTAAAAGAACGTATCCTTGCCGATGTGGCGGCGGTTTTCTCCCTACGCAAAAACACCGTTTGTCGTGCACGCATATCAGTAGGAACCTGATATTTGTAACACATTTCACAGCCGTGATAATAACAACCGTGAAACTGATAAACGGTATTTGTTTCGGGTGAAAAGCCATCGACAAGGATACCCTCCCTTAATCGTACTTCACGCGAGTTTACAGTGTGCTGAATACGAACACCTTCCGAATGTTCCAGCCAGAGAAGCCATTGAATGGCAATCCTCGACTGTTTATCGGCCATCCGATAACCGCCATTTGGAATAAGTCCAATAGTGTTCTCCTGCAAGAAATTTCTACGAAATACTAAACTACACGCGCCCGCAATTGTACAACATTCTCTAAAGGGATCGACACCGTTTTCACTGGTAAATCTCTTCCAAAACTCGACACAAGCCTTCCTAAGTATGGTTACGTCCTGAACACAATAACGAATCAATTCGTTTTGGAAGTTAAACTGAGTACTGTGTGCGATTTCATCGTTGTATCATCTTAGGAAGACTGAGCGAGCTTCGGAGGACATTTCATCAGGACCATAATAGTGCATGGCTGGTAAAACACCCTCATAATTTTGGTTAGCCAACGTATTAAACAAATGTGGAAAATAACCTTTGGATGCGGTAAAGTTGAAGGTTTTCGGAAGCTTGGACAGGGCCATAGGAAGAAAATTAAGACTGTCAATGAATTTAATGTTGTTATCGCAGGAGAGGGACATGATCTTGGTACCGTTAGATATTAGTTGTGGATTCCAGGCAGCTGAGGACTTGAGAATTTCTTTCAGTATGAACTGACAGTCGTAACTTTTCGCATTATGTGCTAGAGCAACAACTTTACGACCTTTTCCCGCTATTTTGCTGAAAACGCAGCCGTTAAGCTCTCTATGACATTGTAGTGGTTATTCTCGAAAAGCAAATTCAAAACCTTACGCGCGGGATCACGAGGCCCTTCAAAATAAACTGTTTTACCTTGCCGATGATTGTATACAACAATGGTATAGTCGAGTAAATGATGTTGAAATTGACGTATGTGTTCAAGTGTACCGCCATTGCTTAAATCTACCACCGCGTCGGTGCATAATTCGAGAGCCCGCAGCTCAACAATGGGATGACCATTTTTGAAGCTACGGACTCTCGGATCATTATCAACAATGGCTATCGACACAACGAGTGCCCTCGCTAAACATAAGTTATCTGCATTGTTTATTTGAATTATGCCACGCTTACGACGACAAAACTCGTTAAAAGTTGTACCCGTCATTTTCAAACGTGACGGACCTCCATTACCAACGGGCAAACTAACGCGATCTACACGCAAACGTAAAGTGTCATGTGTGAAGAAACTTACATTACTGGCCAGAATTTTTTCGAGCGTACCCATCATAACTGTAGCGTTTAGCTGATCGGCGCGTCGAAATGAAAAGCCCACAGGTTTGTCTGGCGTCTCTTCGCTGATCAATGTCATTCCAATTCGATCCGAAGGGTTGACATTACGTGTAATCTTTTCGATTATCTCCTTTAAGGCGGACTGCGAAATCAGAAATGGCAATTGTTAAAATTTTGTATATTCAATTATGACTATACCATACCTCCAGCCATACGATCGGTGCCTCGAGTTTATGTTCACTTTTAAATTTGAATAAGAGATTCGTCGACATCGTATTATACTTCTTGATAAGACGACTACCCTCGCTGACAATTTCTAAATACTTGTAATCCTCCGAGTCCAGGGGTCTCCTAACGGCGATGCCACTGCCGATGTTTTCTGTAACAGGTTGAGGGTGTCGGGCGGACGCCTCGTTGTCCACAGAAGCACTAGCAGTGGAAGGCGTTTCATTCTACGCAGAAATTATTCGTACGTTAAAATTAAAATAATAAGTGGAAATTTGTCTGACTTACATTATCCCTTTGATAGATAGCTTGGGCTGCCGCTCTCAAATCGTTGTAACGAGCTACGTCTTCGGTAGAAAGGCGCACTCCACTTACTATAAGGTCTAACACCTGATGGTATGCCTTTACTATTCCATCATTGGAAAACATACCATTTTCGAATGCTCTCAACAAAAAGTCAACGTTCGAATTCATTTTCGCGTTAAGAGAACTATAAAACGTAGCTACTATTTATGTTACAAATAAATTGAAACACAGAATAGCAATGGTACGTCGGACGAGTCTTACATCAGTTTTATAACATTCCGAAGCTAATTAACACTGTAATTAGAAATGTAGTGTTACTTTGGGTTTTTACGTATAACGATGCGCCACATACTTTGACTAATGGGACACGACCTTCACTAGATACCTGACTGCATAGCTACTAAATATTGACAGTGCACGAAATCAAACATTCCATAATTTTCAAAATGTATTAGCCATGATTCACTTAAAAAATGTAATTAAAACATAAGGCGAATGTCTTTTATGAGCTCTTTATTAATTCAATACATTCACAACTCATTCTCTTAGCAGTTACACAACATTTAACCGACGGAAAAAAACCTTCTTTTCAGAAACCAATCTAAATTACAAGTCCTTCAATGAGAACAACTTTTCAAAAACTTTTATTGAAAAAACACATTAAGATTAATGATACAGTAAACTTCGGCTATAACGCACCCGGTTATAACGAACCCTCGGTTATAGCGAACCAAATTGAAAGTCCCGCCAATAGTTCCATAAGGACAATGTTAAAAATTACCGTTTATAACGATCCCGGTTATTACGTACAATCGGTTATAACGAACTGAAAAATAGACGCTTAGGCGTATTTTATATACAAAATCCACCGGTTTTAACGAACGCGCGCGTTGGAACAAAATTATTGTACTACATATATCCATTGTAAACAGTCGTACGAGTGCCCTTAGGATATTACACGTTTTCACGAAAATGAGTCAACATCCGCCCCGGCAAGATTTGTTTGCGCCGAAGTTATTTATGGCTTTTAGCAATTAGTCACTCTCCCGCAGTTGCAGATGCAGTTTTGCTTCCGCGATACGTGTACAATGGGTGACAAACAAAAACGGCAATCGTTTACGTTGCAAGTTAAATGTGACATTATTCGTGAGTTGATAGGTGGGAAAAAACAAGTTGATGTGTGCCGCGAAAAAAGCTTGAGCAAATCTACTGTTGCAACAATTTGGAAGAACCGGGATGAACTGTTAAAAGCATTTGAAAGCATAAACGTTAAAGTGAAGAAAATGAGAAAATCTGTACATGATGAGGTGGATAGAGCTCTGTTAATATGGTTTTCGCAACAGAGACGGAATAATGTTACAATAAGTGGTGCAATTCTCCGAACAAAAGCGGAAGAATTTGGCAAAAAAGTTCAAGACAACTTCGTGTGCAGTGAAGGCTGGGTTGAAAGATGGAAAGCGCGACATAACATATGCAGCGGTAAAATTCTCGGTGAAGCATCAGATGTTAATACAGAAGTGGTGGATAACTGGATTTCAACTGTCTGGCCAACAATTAAAGAAGAGTACAGCGAAAATGATGTTTTTAATGCGGATGAAACAGGTCTCTTTTTTAAACTTACTCCGGACAAAACCTTAAAATTCCGAGGAGAAAAATGTGTTGGCGGTAAATTGTCGAAGGAGAGGATTACTGTGTTGGTTTGCGCCAATATGTCAGGGACAGAAAAAAGAAAACTTTTGGTTATTGGCAAGTCCCAAAACCCCCGATGTTTTAAAAATGTTAGAAGTCTTCCAGTGGATTATCGCGCAAATTCTAAAGCTTGGATGACATCAGAGTTATTCATTGAGCACGTGCGAAAATGGGACGAAGAACTGAAAAGAAAAAAACGCAAAATTGTGTTATTAATTGACAATTGCCCAGCACATCCCAAAATTCAACAATTGCAGTTTATCAAGCTAGTCTTCATGCCTCCAAACACAAGCTCTATACTTCAGCCAATGGACCCTCAAAACCTATTATCGTCATTCGCTGCTAATTAGGCAAGTGCAAAACATAGATTCGGGAAAGGCTGTAACCGTTTCTGTATTGGATGCCATAAATCTAATCCACAAATCTTGGCAGAAGATATCAAGGCAAACAATAAAAAACTGTTATAAGCACGCAGGATTTTATTCTCCCAGTACGGATGAAGAATATGACTCTGATGACGATTTACCACTGCACACCTGGCTTATAAATCAACAAAGGACGACAACGCCTGGTACTTCTACCTCTGGAAACCATGGAGTGGCCATCGAGGATAATGTTGTGGATGAATTTGTTACTGTGGATGACTGTGTCATAACTTCCGAATTTTTGACGGATGATGAAATAATGTCTGCGGTAATAGAAGAATATGAGGATAACAACTCAGACACCGAAGACGAGGATAGTACGGAGGATGCAACAGTTACGAATGCAAGCGCAGTTCAATGTCTACGTGAGATTCGAAAATTTTTACAATCGCGCGGTGCATCACAAAATTTGTTTAACAATTTAGTTGAGTTGGAAACATTCGTAGATAACATTTGTGCAAACAATGCAGAAGTTCAGAAAAGAATTACCGACTACTTTAACCTTACTACAACCTAATATGTAATTAGTACATAATTACATATGTACATAATTATGTACATAATTACATATGTATGTACATAGTCTATTAAAACTTAAATATGTACTATGTACATTTGTGGTTCAAAGTTTATTTTTTGTATCTTTTAAAAATGGAATTGCATTTATTTTACAATAAAAATTTAAAAATGTATCTTGTATACGTTTTTTTACATTTTTGTTTATAACGAACTTCGGTTATAACGAACAGATTTTCGCGGTCCCTTGAGGTTCGTTATAACCGAAGTTTACTGTAGTAGGCGACCGATATAAAAAAGTGCGTGACCATAACTAAAACAGTGGTTTTATTTTTGCAGTCAGTTGTTCTCAGTGATCTGTACCGATGTAACCCTTGTAACAAGTGACCATCAATAGCATCATGAATCTCAACAACTTAAAACAGAAGACCTACTGCAAATCATTTAACAAACGCAAGGTTTTGACGCTTACATGATATTAAAAATGAATACCATCAATACTAAGTATGGTAACCGGAGAGTCTAAAGACTCGGAACGGTTTTATAAATATTTTAAAAAAGTCAATTCAATTGAAAACACGTTCGTTCCTCTTTCGTAGCTTAGGACCCATAGGAAAGAGAACAATCATATTGTTCTTCAACAGCTGAAAATATTTGTATTGTTTTTTGCATACCTGCAATAATATGTATCATTATCAATTGTCATATATAATTACATAAAGTATTTGAAAGTTTCTGAAGTTCTTACACTTAATTGTTAATTGTAATTAAGTACGAATTCGTCACAGTATTCGTTAATTAGGTACATAATGACCCACGAAAACGTATACAGGGTGACAATTTGAAAACTTACCACCCCCCATATCTTAGTAAATAAACGAGATATTTAAAAAAATCAAAATCCGTTTCGGTAATTCGGAAGCGGGAATCACAATGACATAGTTGGCGACGCACCCCCTCCACCCCCTGCGCCCTAGCCACCCCAACTTTTAAATCTTAAATAGTGACCCCCCATGTGTGATACGTCGTTGGAAAGCTCTGAAAAAATGCTTTCCAACCATACCAAATAGCATTACATTTAGGTTAGTAATTATCGTGCAAATCAAAAAATAAACATGGAAAATCGTATTTCACTTGAACTTTCAAAGCCGACTCGACAGCAACTCATTTTTGATCGCCAGTTATAATCTATTCTCAAACTCTTGTCGAACCTTTTCAAATGTTGGTTTTGCAATATTTCGACATTCTTGAATTATTCTCTGTCTTAGTTCGTCTATGTTCGCCGGTTGCGTTTTAAATACGACAGATTTCAAATGTATTATATTAGTTTATTTTTTGATTTGCACGATAATTACTAACCTAAATGTAATGCTATTTGGTATGGTTGGAAAGCATTTTTTCAGAGCTTTCCAACGACATATCGCACATGGGGGGTCACTATTTAAGATTTAAAAGTTGGGGTGGCTGGGGCGCAGGGGGTTGGAGGGGGTGCGTCGCCAACTATGTCATTGTGATTCCCCTCCGAATTACCGAAACGGATTTTGATTTTTTTAAATATCTCGTTTATTTACTAAGATATGGGGGGTGGTAAGTTTTCAAATTGTCACCCTGTATAAATGGACTCTACTTTCCAGTAAAATTATAAAAAATCCAGATCTCCGAACAGAACTAGCTCCAGCAAGTACACCCTCATCACATCAGTACGTGTGTAATCGAACGTAGCAGTACGTAAGTTATAAATCAGTTTATTTTTATTTTCATTATACTAAAATACGTATGGCTTTTTTAGCTTAAAAATGAATAAAATTAATAATGAAATGGTCCGTCTCAACATATTGGTCCAGGAACTGGAGCGACAAAACACAATAATACAAGAGAGTACGCCAGGTTGGGATCTAAATATGATCGCCAATTTAGAAACATTGAATCCCTCTGCTCTCGACCAGCACAAGATCTACTATCAGAGTCAACAACATTAAAAAAGGCTGTTAAAGAAGCCGCCGAAGTTCGGCTCCAATATCTAACAGAGTGTTTCACCTTCAGCCGACAGTATGAACGGGTTATGGATGTGTACAACGATCTGATGGAGTCTGTCGAGGAGGGTCTAGGTTTTGATCTAGGTGACCGCGACCGATTAAGGCCAGAGTACGAAAAATTAATAAACGAGTACGACACCGTTATGGGCACAGTATCAACGTGGACTCAACTCAATGCCAGCATCGACACCTTGCGGCCTGATTTTATTTTTAAATATAGTAATCTCCTTAGTTTATAAAGTACCTAATTATCTATAATATAAACATATATCCAAAAATCAATCAATCATGTTTTATTTTGAAACAAGGCGTTGTGGTGCCGCAACAAAATTTCACCATGTATACACTTCGAGCAAACATCCTATACACTGGTGATAAAAAGTGACCATGCGCAAAAAATTACAGGAATCTACATTTTCAAATTTACAGTGACCTACTACCAACTGAAAATTACAGGAAACTACACCACCAAATTACCGACACCAGCGAAAAATTACAGGAATCTGCAATTTTTACAGAAATCTACACTTTCAATTCTTGTACCTCTAGCAATTGCCACTAGATGGCGGCACCACTGTCAACAAGATGTCTACAGGAAAAGTGAAAGTTGATAAGAGTATACGGGAAAAGGAAATTGTTATCAGCTACAGGTAATAACAATAAAGAGATGAGAAAGTTACTAAATTTGAATTCGAATTGTAGGGAAAGAAGAGTAGAAAATGAAATAAAGTATTTCGAAGACTTAATAGGCCTTAAGGGTAAGAAAATAAACCGTTACAACACGCGTACACAATAATCTTCCGTGCAAATTTTTGATCGGGTCTATATTCCAATTGTATCTTTCTGTATAAGGTCGACCCCAAATGATGAATAACGATTTTATATTCATTTGTAGCATATGGAAATCCAAATTCAAAGTATTGATACTTGTAGTCTCATTTTTCAAAAAAATCATTCTTTTTGAATAGGAACTCATATAAAGCATTGCATTCTGAAAACAATAGT